AAACACGAAAACGTGAGAAGATGCGTGCTGATTCTGTCATTCTACCTGCCAAACACCAGCTTTTAATCTTTGAACACTTGTTCGGAAAACTGATTTGACACAAGGCGTGGTGCTTTCAAACCGCTTTTCTATCATTTCTCTCTGGAAGCATTCTGTAAACAATGTTTTGTTGTTTGCTTCTAAAATTCTAAATATTACCCTGCTCTGTTGTTAAGTGCAGGTAATTAAAATCTCATCCAATCACATTCTTATCACGGCTGTTAAATAAGTCTAGCTCAATTCTGTTCACTGTGCACCAGCCACATCAAGGCCATAACGAAAAATGCTGAACATGGTCACAATTCAGAACCTGAGCCCTTTTTAAAAAGGCGGCAACATCACCAGGCATATTGGAGAGCGTTTCTCCCAGGAACTGCTTCCCAGTGACGATGCACACAAAGGACGGGGACAGAGATGAGAAAACAGCAGCTGTCTCGGCAGAATCAGCAGCCTGCTCTGGGGAGCATAGGGGTTTGCACAAGGAAAACCCAGCCGCAGCCATAAGGTTTTATTGATAGCACCCGCATGAAACTGCTCTGAACTTGAACACACAAGCCAAATATAATTAAAGCACCAAGTTTTTTTTTTTAAGGTTCAAACATGATTGTTTGGAAGCCTTAGAAGCCAAGTGGACAAAGAGTAATGTCAAATGCACAGTCTACAAGAAGTGCCCCAATCAGCTCAGTGTCACAGCTCTGCCAGGGTGCGTGAAATCTCTGAGTCTGTATGATGTACCAACCGGCCATGTCCAGCAAAATCAGAGACAAAGCAGTACGTGGTAGCTTCTGTTTCCTCGTTCCTCGTCTGATCTGTCATTTTGTTCTGGAGCTTCCTATTTGCAACTTCTCTCAGGAAAACATAGAATATTAACTGCGGTTTTATATAGAGTTGTTGCTTATCCAGGAGAATTTGGAGATGGGACTTGAACTTGGGAGTTCAGGGAAAAGCCTCATCCTAACAGTCTCACACTTCACACTGGCTAAGGGTGTGCTACCTCTGTGCACCTCCACGGGTGCTGGCAATGTGTGCTTCCCTCAGCCTGGCTTTTGGGCTGTCTTCCTGTTCCTCCAACAAGCACTGGGTTTGGGCCTCGGCCACAGGACAATGCTTTTCACCACCTGACCTCTTCCAGATGCTCACTCCCACAGCACAGTGGGGTTTGAGGGAGAGAAGAGTGAGAGCCATCATCATGTGTCTGTGCTTGGGAGAAGAAAGCCTAATGAAATTGTTCATCATTGCCAATTAAGACAAATAGTTGAAGATGGTTACTCAACAATCAGAAATTCACACTTAAAAAAAAAAAAAAAAAGTGAAGCCTGCCCAGTGTGGCTTGGTGGTTGGGCATCAACCTTATGAACCAGGAAGTCATGGTTCCATTCCCAGTCAGGGCACATACCTAGGTTGCATATGGGAGGCAACTAATCAATGTTTCTCTCTCATTAGTTTTCATTTAGAATGAGTTTGTTACCACAGCCTATATCTTGCATAAAGCATTTTCTCTGAAATAATCATTTTCTGTATTGTTCTACTTTCATTACCTTAAAGCCTAGTCAAATCTCAAAAATACTCTGCTTTTGCCCTAACCAGTTTGGCTCAGTGGATAGAGCGTCAGCCTGCAGACTGAATGGTCCCAGGTTTGATTCCAGTCAAGGGCATGTACCTTGGTTGCGGGCACATCCCCCAGTAGTTGTTGTGCAGGAGGCAGCTGAATCATTGTCTCTCATTGATGTGTCTAACATCTTCACCCTACCTCTCTTTAAAAAAAAAAATCAATAAAATATATATTTTTTTAAAAATACTCTGCTTTAAAACTTCCATATGTCCTTGGGTGATGATTAAATAAGTAAATAAAATAACTTGTGCAGGGAAGTAGCTGATGTATTGCTCACATTGATGTTTCTCCTTCTCCCCCCCAAAAAAAATCAATAGGCATAAAATTTTCATTAAACCAGATGAAAAGTTCTAGAGATCTGTACAACATTGTAACTATAGACAACAATAATGTACTGTAGCCGGAACCGGTTTGGCTCAATGGAAAGAGCATCAGCTTGGGGACTGAAGGGACCCGGGTTCGACTCCAGTCAGGGGCATGTACCTTGGTTGCAGGCATATCCCCAGTAGGGGGTGTGCAAGAGGCAACTGATCGATGACTCTCTCTCATCAATATTTCTAGCTCTCTATCTCTCTCCCTTCCTCTCTGTACAAAATCAATAAAATATATTTAAAAAAATAATGTAGTGTATATTTAACATTTTGTTTTTTAATATATCATATTGATTTCTTACAGAGAGGAAAGAGGGCTAAAAACATCAATGGGAGAGAAACGTCGATCAGCTGCCTCTTACATACCTCCTACTGGGGATGTGTCCACAACCAAGGTACATACATGCCCTTGACCAGAACTGAACCTGGGCCCTTCAGTCCACAGGCCAATGCTCTATCCACTGAGCCAAACCGGTTAGGGCTTAACATTTTACTGAGGATAGATCTCATGTTAAGTGTGTGTGTGTGGGGGGGGAGGGGGTGAGGAGGTGAGGAGGAGAGAGGCAAAGGACTGAGACAGACAACCCAGAGAAAGGTCTGAGTCTTAAGAAGAAAGCTTCTAAAGAGTTGTTAAAAAAAAAAAAAAAAATTGTTAATATCACATCAAGTCACATAAGGTAGAAATGAAGTTTTGACTACATCTGGCTATAGTATGAGTTAAGATAACCTTATTAGGTCATTTCTGGAGTGATATGAGAAATTCAGACACTAGTGGGGTAAATATGGGAAGTGAGGAAATTGATGCAGTTCTTATAATCCCTTTTTAAAAATTCTGTTTAAAGTATTATATATAAATTCTTTTTCCTCCATTGATCTCTCCCCGCTCATTCCCACCTTCCACCTTCCCCCACCCCCCGCCCCAGCACATGCCTTCACCCCCCCTACTGGCTGTGTTCATGGGTTACGCTTAGTATATGCATGCATGCAAGCAAGTCCTTTGGTTGAGCTCTCATGGCCTTTTCCCCTTTCCACCTCCTCTCCTTCCCTCCCCCTGAGGTTGGATGGTCTGTTCGATGCTTCTGTCTCTGGATCTATCTTTAGTTCATCAGTTTATGTTGTTCATTATATTCCACCCTTGAGACCCAGTTCAAGAAAATTCATGTACTCGAGGGGGGTCCCTCAGCCCAGCCTGCCCCCCTCTCACACTCCGGGAGCCCTCAGGGGCGGGAGGTAACCCGGCAATCAGGAGAAGGCGACACCCCCATTACACCTCTGCTGCTGCCACTGCCAGCAGCGCCTTGGCCTGCCCTGTTTACCTGAGCCTCTGGTGGCCCTTGGCGGCTGTGCAGCTGCCATCTATGGCTTGCCTGCACCTTGGGCTGGCTCTGGGTGGCTGTGCAGCTGCCATCCAAGGTTTGCCTGTGCCACAGGCCTGCCCTGGGTAGCTGAGAGATTCTGGAGGCAGGCACGCTGTGCGCCTGCCACCCTGGTACTGGGCACTGCCATCTTTGAGTGCATGGCAGTCAATTAGCATATTCCTTCTACATTAGATAGGATATGAGATCATGTGATATTTACCTTTCTCCAAAATTGGCTTATTTCTCTGATAACTCTTTTAAGCTTTGTTGAAACAATGGCTTATCTTTGCTGTACTACTTTGTGGTATAATACACTTTTCATGCATTCTTTAGGAAATATTTAGCAGGGATTAATAGTTTGCTTACTCCTAAAAATAGGCCTAAGAAACCCTAGAAAACAAATGAAAAGAACGTAAGGTTATCTAAAATTTTTTAAAAGAGAAAATAAAGGGGAAAAAAGGTAAAATAGATTTATTTAATAAACAGTATTATAAAACTTTTACAGTTGGCAAAACAGAATAAGTTATGAATTATTATTGTTAAGATGATGCTTATGTGATGTAGAGGCTCAAGTATCTTTGGATAAGAATATCACCAATGACTCAACAACTGACTGGATACATAACCCAAACCCATCCTTAGTTGGGAAATTAAATAATAAAGGAGTCAAAGCCTCAACTCAGAAAAGAACTGATGGTCTTTTTATAACAAGAAATGTTTGGTGGCCGAAACCCGTTTGGCTCAGCGGTAGAGCGTCAGTCTGAGGACTGAAAGGTTCCAGGTTCGATCTGGTCAAGGGCATGTACCGCTAGGGGGTGTGCAAGAGGCAGCTAGTCGATGTTTCTCTCTCATCGACGTTTCTAGCTCTCTCTCTCCCTTCCTCTCTGTAAGAAAAATCAATAAAATATATTTTTTTTAAAAATGTTTGGTGGAAATGTTAGATAAATAACACTGTGATTTTTAAAAACTGCACTGGGTTGCTATACTTATTTGAAATTAATACCATTATCAATCTATATCCATATTACTATTTTTTCAAGCAATAAAAGAATATTACTTTCCTCTTATTGTTTTTACCTAATCTATATTAATAGACTACTGACGAGTAACAAAAAAAACAAAAACAAAACCCTCAAAAATCAGGTGCCAGTGTTATGAACCAATTTCAACTTACATGTCAATTATTTAATTATAAAAATTTGGGAATAAATCCTTAAGAAAACATTATTTAAAGTAGAGCTGTGCTAAGATAATGCACACAAACCAATACAGTCTATTTAATAAAAATATTTAATGCTGCCAAAAAGTATAAAAATACAGTAGAAGTGGCAGTACAATACAAAGTAGTTTTTCCTAATTTATTTCTTTTACATCTTTCCACGTTTCATACATTAGATTAAAAAACTTAACAATACATCAAAGTAGAGAGTTCTGCAAAGTCTTCTGCTGGTGGTGTTCTTCTTTCCCTGGATGTAAAGTTTACTTTGTAAACAGACAAATGTGAGGCAATCTACGGGTTTATTAAGCCTCACATTAGTTTCCGGAGTGGGCTTCAGGTCTTGCTTTGCACATCAATGGTTCAAAATTTATAGCTGCAGAATATTCTCAAGTCATGAGTATTTAGGTGTCTGTCAATCTTGGCCTAAAACATAAAATAAGAAGTCATCTATTCAATTCATATTTACCACACACACAGATGTACATAGATACACACAAACATAAAAGGACTAACAATGAACTAAAAAGGCAACAAAAAACATTCCAACGTATCACATCCAACCACACTAAGTGCTTCACTGGATTGCTGGTAAAATTGCTTAAGAGCTATTTCTGGTGGTGTGAGGTAGGTTCATGTTAAAACACCATAACTCATATTGTTTTTCAGGAATTACTATGAATTTTGTTGGTCATTTTTATTACTCAAGAAATAACCTCCATGTGAAATATACTGACAGACAGGTTTTAAAAAAATGTACCCACAACAGTTTAGCAAGACTATATGTATGTGCTAGACTTACCAATACTTTGGCATTCAATTCAAAAGTCTAATCCAATTTGGACCTCCACTGAATCATACTGCTAAAAATATTATGAATGTTATGTTTGAACAGTAAAATCACAGACTGTTAGCAGCATGCTTTTTGTCTTGAAGATAATACTAGCGAATATAGCAATATAAATCTGGTGACACAATTTAGTTACTATCAATATAAAAGAAAACACAGACATAAAGTAATTGATTTATTGTATTTTAATGCCAAAAAGATAATGAGAGTTTAAACAAACAATAGACAGATGAAGTAGCTATTTTTAGGGCAGTTGACTTTTTTTTTTTATGTTATTTTACAATGTTTCCAAATAGCCAAACTTTTTAGATAAATATTTCCATTCTTCCCCCAACTTCCCTCACTACAACAAAAAAAACCCAAATCTAAGTACTTGTCATTATTATATCCCCACATACATAAACAGGATATATAAACCATACCCACATATATTTTTCCAAAACATTTAGTCAAAACCCCCAAAATACCATGAGTGGAGCTTCTCCTGACTACTGGCTCCTTCTACCGAAGGAAAGAGTAATAGTACCAAGCACTCTGGTGTTCTCAATACCAGTTTTCTTAGATTTCCCAGCACTGACAGAGAAATGTCAAGTCATCAAGAAAACAGTCTCCTTTGATGTCTGTGGGTCACCAAAACTACTATGTCTGCTTACTGTGCTGCTACAAAAAACACCTTTATTCCCCAGAATTCACAAAATTGTTCAGTGAAACAACGGAACTTAATCCAGTCAAAGTGCATGAAGTATTTATTGGTTTAGACTGAACATTTTGGTGTTACAGTATTTCTCTGGTCTATGGATAATTTAAACTGTTTTTGCAAGATTTTTGTTGGGAAAAAATATGTTTCACTTAAGAAATAGAGGGTTACTTATACATTTTAACAAGTAAAAGTAGTTGCCTAATGTTTTTCAACCTAAATATCTGGTTTAAATATTACATAAAACTGAGTCAGGGTGATATAATAGATAAAATATGAGATCTGGAGTTAATGGGATTCTAAAAAGTAGAGTTTGAATCCCAGCTCTGGCACGTACTAGCTGAGCAATTTTGAACAAGGTACTTATCTTTCGACTCAGTTTTATTACCTCAAAATAGAGGTTATGTGATGTATCTAGAAGAGGTACTATGGGGGTTAAATTTAGGTTATGTATTTAAAATGACTGGCAGAACTGTAGGTCTTCAACATACAATGCTGTCTTCCCTAACAGGGTATTAAAGACACAATTACCAAAGAAAATTACTACTTACAATGAAAAGAAACTGAGTGTTTTTGAAAATTCACTTTTTTTTTTCTTTAAGTATTATTATAGAGAACAAGAAAATAAGATGAAATCATTGGGAATGTTAATTAATTTAAAAGGCTATGTATTTGCAAAGGTAAATGGACATTTTAGGGCGGAAAATTCACCTGAATAATCTTTTGCTGTTTTACTAATATTTAACAAGGTGAGAGTGAAATCTGTTCAAATAAATTAAGTGGAATTAGTCCTGCTTGGTGCTTCCTTTGGAGCAGTAAGTATCTGAGTAGCCCTCAGATACTAACCCCCGTACGAATGCTGGAATGAAATGAGAACTGGGCTCACAGACAGAGCAAAATCTTGCCAAGCTGGCTCCATACCTGAAGTAACAGAAAATCAAAACTGCACCCAAGCCTTAGCCAGTTTGGCTCAGTGGATAGAGTGTCAGCCTGGGAACCAAAGTGTCCCAGGTTCGATTCCAGCCAAGGGCCCATGCCCAGGTTGAGGGCTTAATCCCCAGTAGGGGGTGTGCTGGAGGCAGCTGATTGGTGATTCTCTCCAATCATTGATGTTTCTATCTCTTTATCTCTACCTTCCTCTCTGAAATCAATAAAAAAGCACGTGTGTTTTTTTTTAAACTACACCCAAATAGTTTTGCCATTGAAATAATAAAAACTTTTCTAAAATGAGCAAAGCATTGCCTTATTAACAAAATGAGCTTACCTAGTTTTCCTCTTCTGAATTCCCAAACTCTAAACAACATTTTATAGTAGACATTTGAAATATCAAAACCATTAGGTGTCTAAAACATCTATACCAAATGGTCTCTTTAAATAAAAAAATTCCTAAGCAATTCTCCTTATAGTTCCCCAAACATACTATGCAATGGAAAACTAGATATTAAAATCAACTCTGTAATATCCTCACTAAATCCCATAATTCTCATATTCCACTCAAAATTATAAAACCAAAATAGAGAGAGTTCAAAGGATGAACTTTGCCCTCTCCCAGTGGACTGCACAGAGGTGTCAGAGCACTTTTACATGTTTTCACTGTCAGCTGTTCAGCTTGTCACTGACCAAGACAAAGCCTCCCAAACCAACCAATGGCTTCCTGTCTGAACCCCGCTTACGCTCGGCAGCACTGTGATGGAGTGAATACACACGACTTGAGAAAAGGATCAGCAGCATTAATTAACTGCTAATGTAGAAATGAGAACATAGGAACACCGCACAGACAGTTCTGCTATGCACTTAGTTCCAGACCAGGATCAATGCAACAAGTTCCAACGTCAGCCATTCTGTACCCTCCACCCTCTGCTAGTATCCAACAGACTAACAGATCCACACTCCCTATCCCTGACAAACCCATGTGGACCCACTGGAAGAAAGTAAGTCAATGTTGGCAGAAGGTGTATCTCCTAGACTCTCGCCTGAACACAGATATACATAGTAAGCACTAGGCTTATAACAAACTACATTTTAAAAAAATCTCTATAGCCGAAACCAGTTTGGCTCAGTGGTAGAGCGTCGGTCTGTGGACTGAAAGGTCCCAGGTTTGATTCCAGTCAGGGGCATGTACGTTGGTTGCGGGCACATCCCTGGTAGGGGGTGTGCAAGAGGCAGCTGGTGGGTGTTTCTCTCTCATAGACGTTTCTGGCTCTCTATCTCTCTCCTTTTCTCTCTGTAAAAAATCAATAAAATATATATTTTTTAAAAATCTCAGACATCTCACATAGCAGAATTTTAAAAAAATAAAAATAAAAAATAAAAAATCTCTATAAGATTTATACCTAAAAGTAAAAGTCAAGGGCAACTAGATTTAAAATATAATAACCAGGCAGGCATTTTGGAAATGTAGGTACTCATTAAAATAAGAGTACATAATGGTCCATATAAATATTTCTAATGTAATCAGGTTCTGGCCTGTGTTATATAGAATCTAGTCAGAGATATTTTTCAAAGAGGGAAATGACTTGTACAAGGTTAAGTCTTTCTTGGAAAGATATCTAATTCTAAAATAAACTATACACATGAGACTTTTCAAAGATAACGTAAAAGAATGTAGAAATGCCAAGTCTCAGGTTGATTATGACTTAATAATAACACCACCTACCTCAAAAGCTTGTTGTGAGGATTAAATAGGATAATATAACATATGAAAAGTGCTTAGCACAGTGCTTGGCACACAGTAAACGATCAATAATGGTAGCAACCATCACTTTGAACTGATGCTGAAAACAAAGAAGGAATTGATATTAAAACTGAAGGATTGCTCGATGTCATAAACTACTTTATAAACCAGTATGTATCTTTTGATTCACACCATCAATTCTAGTTTATATAAAACAAATATTCATAAAATTAAAAAGTTACAACTCCTTCCTCTGACATACCTGTTAAGCAAAGCTACTTTTTTTTTCTCAATCAATAAGATTTTTACTTCCTTTCTCTTTTTGTGTTCATTCCTTGATAGAAATATTAACTCACAGCGAAATGGACCAAAAAGATAGAAAAATCAGAGCAAATATAGAAAATATTCTTTAAACATGAGAAATGATCTTCATATTGTTCTAAAGTTCTCTATTACATTTTTAAGCCTCTTAAAATTTCAGGAAAAGGGTATTATTTTAATTTTACATATGGATAAATTATATATGAAGAATTATATTTTTGCCGAAACCAGTTTGGCTCAGTGGATAGAGCGTCAGCCTGCAGACTCAAGAGTCCCGGGTTCGATTCCGGTCAAGGGCATGTATCTTGGTTGCGGGCACATCCCCAGTAGGGGGTGTGCAAGAAGCGGCTGATCGATGTTTCTCTCTCATCGATGTTTCTGACTTTCTATCCCTCTCCCTTCCTCTCTGTAAAAAAATCAATAAAATATATTTTAAAAAAGAATTATATTTTTACATATATGTGCAAGCATAGATAAAAATCAATATAAGATAGCATAAAATACTTGGTGAAACTTGGAAACAAGTGTATATCCATATGGTGTAGCCAGAAAAGATGGCATTGCATCAAAGGCTACTGTCATTTTATTAGCAGGGGTAAATATAAACAAACAAAAATGAATTGGATGTTATTATAAATGTTCTTTTCTTAAATAATAAAGCCTTTGACTTTAAAAATATCCCTTTTTCTTCTTTAACCTATTAAAAATATTACTACTTCACTAAAATCAAACTATACAACTGACTTTGAAATGTTATAATTAGAAAATATTATGAAGACCTAAGGATACACAAATTATGCAAATATGTAGAACCCATCATAGATTAGTAACTTTTCCTCTGGCTGTTACCTGAGAAGGCAAGAGCCATGTTTGTGCCCTTCGCTCTGATTAGCACCCCTCCTTTAATGAAGGGTCAGGATGAGGACCGTAGGCACCACAGCAAGTGGCCATAGATCATTAACAATTAGCACATGGCACCAACCAAAATATTATTGTTGGTAAAAACGTAATACACTCTCCTCAAGGACCTGCTTGGAGGAGGTAAGATGACTAACATTGCAGAAGTTTATCCACAAATGTTTCTACACTGACTATAATTTTAAAAATATGTTACAACGAACACTATCCAGAAGGACAGACAGCAGACAAAAAGCAAAGCTGCAATTCCGAATCCAATGAAGCTCATTCTCCTGCAGTGGGGTAGTGTGCATTATGATCAGCATCTGCTTGCCATAAGATGTCTTTACCTTTTTGTTTTAAGCAAGGCTACCCTTCAATTGGAAATTTAATATGGTCGCAGCCATATCTGAGTTGCAGAATAATATATTGTACTTTAGCAAAGCAAGGCAAGTTGGAAAAAAAGATTTTAAATAATGAATTAAAACATAAATGTCTTGGTGCCTGAACACAGATTTAATGCAGACAGACATAAGAAAATGTCCCTCTTACCTCCTTTCCATTTAAAGGTTACAGGACACAGTAATACTGAATTAGGACACAGGCAGAAGTTTATTTAATATGTAGTACCACCTACATCCTGCTTTCATACTTGCAGCACAATTAACACATTCAAGAAGGCTACGAAATCAACTCCAAACATGTCTAAACCAATGGTTTTCAAACTGTTTTTTAAATTATAACTAATTCCTTAAAATAAAATTAAACTTCAGCAAAAATATTTATGTAGTATATAGAGAGATAAAGGAGACAGAGAGATGGTCCGGTTGAAAGTAAAGTCTGCTAGCTTAGAGTCTTTCCTACCACTTTTTGTTGACCCCTTGGAAATCTAATGAGCACAGTTTGAAAACCAGTGAAATAAATGTATTTCATTATTTCAGCAATTAAATGTATAACAATTATTTAAAGTTTAAGTTAAATATGTTGAACATTTAATGGAATGTAGGGTATGAAGAAAACTGCCATTCCAGCAGCAGTTAAATTCATTAAACAATATACTTTTAAAATATCCATTAAGAAGTTAAAGGGACAATGTAAAGTTTGTACATCATCATACTATTTATTTAAGTAGAAAGAACTTAAAAATATTTATTTCAAAATTTCAGTCTCGTATACTGAAATCATGGCAGTAAAATGGTGCTCCTTATTTTTATTTTCTAAATCATGATTTACCCCAATTATAAGTTAGGATAGTTACATTGAAATCTTCATAAAAATAAAAAGTATAAGTAACGGGCTTTACAGAAACCAATTTCTTTACAAAGTCTTGATCAACAGTATTACCTGACTATTCAGTAAGGAGAATTTCCTTTCAAATATATTTTTAGGGAAAATTTTTTTCTTTTTTCTTTTTAAAATTGGAAAAACCATAAAACATAAAAGAAATGCATATATATGGTAAAAAAAAAAAAATGCTTACTAAGAGTTCTAACTGCTCAAATTTCTCCTTATGAAAATATCCAGTACAATTGAACCAACATACAATTTTTTATAACAAATTTTTCAAATTTAGCTTTCTAAAAAAGTACATTTAACTACAAAAGTAAGATTAAATACTTATAAAATATATTTACCTTGAAATGGTTAAGAATATAAATTATTGATGCTCATGTCAATAGTACATTATACATTACACACATTCTTTAAAGGTCATTTTCTTTTCATTAATAATGTAGATAAAACCACGATATTTATTGCTTGTATCAAGTGCAGGTTAAAATCCAGGTGGCCTCAAAAACAAATCCTTGTGATAAAGGATATTTTTCAATCTGGTCAGGTGAAATATTACACTTAACATGTATGAATACAGTTGCAAAATGTACCAGTTTTTAACAGGAATTAGAGTATTTTAGATCACCATTTACAATTTGGGAGTAGTGCCCTGAGATGTTGGGCTGAGGACTAAAGATATTATTTATCTGGTTGGTTTCTATTCTATTGCTCCATCTTTGAGGATATGAGAAGTTTGCTAACAGAAACCTCCTTGTGATTAATGCAACACTGTCAGCTATTAGTGCAGAAGCTTGCTGGGCACAATTGTATTATTTATAGGACACTCTGCTGAAAAATCAGTGCCCAGCCAACAAAAGCGCCAACCAAAATGACTGACACAAACCCCATCTTAGTGAGAATAGGTTGCCAATATAACCACCTTTTTCTTTTTCGTTCAGTCTCATTTAGCCTCTGTTTCATCTGCTGCACCTTCTGAGCCGTGGTAGCTTTTCTGTCTTCTCGAATTCGTTTCCGTAGAACACTATGAATAAATATAAACAAAATATAAGAAGTGCTTGGCAGAACTTAATTACTCTCATACAGAGGACCTAAACTCAAATATCCCCACCCCCCCCTACACACACACACACACACACACACACACACACACACACACACACTATTCAACTCAAATACTGAAGTTTTTTTTTTAAAAAAAGGAAAAGATTTGGCTCAAATAAACTCTTATAAAAATTCTCAAAAACATAAACAACTAAAAGGGATAAAAAGCCTAAGTCTTTAAACAGTCCAAAGATGTGTTCTGATAATATATAAAATATTAACAAATACTTTTAGTAGGACCTGATAACAAGCACTGAGCTTTCTTTCTTGAACTGGTGATTGTCAGTTTCCTCCCTCCCTACCCCCCTTTCTCCCTCTCTCCCTTCCTTTCTATTTTTTTTTTATTGATTAAGTTATTATATATGTGTCCTTATCCCTCCATTGTCCCCCAACCCACCCACTCATGCCCTCACCCCCCTGGTGTCTATTGGTTAGGCTTATATGCATGCATACAAGTCCTTGGATTGATCTCTTTTCTTTCTTTCTTTCTTTTTTTTTTTTTTTAATATATTTTATTGATTTTATACAGAGAGGAAGGGAGAGAGATAGAGAGTTAGAAACATCGATGAGAGAGAGTCATCGACCAGCTGCCTCTTGCACACCCCTTACTGGGGATGTGCCCGCAACCAAGGTACATGCCCTTGACCGGAATCGAACCCGGGACCCTTCAGTCCCAAGCCGACGCTCTATCCATTGAGCCAAACCGGTCCTGGCCTTTCTTTCTTTCTTTGCTAACCAGCCAGAAGTGGAAGATAAGCGAGACCGCTAGCATCTGATCCCCTTTTGAGTTTATGTTTGATTTTTGACAAAGGCCCTTCATAAAAGCCATCAACTTAATATGTCCAAGAATAGTCTTTATGGGAGTGCCTATTACTCTATCCATACAGATCTCTAGCTTCCATTTGCTTATTTAATATAGACTTTTTGTTCCAATGGAAGCTCTTTGATTTCTAAAATACATAACCATAGGACTACATAAAGAACAACAAAAGGCAACACGTAAATTGCAATTGCCTATATTGCCGCAAAAAAAATTAACAGTTTTCCTGTCTCCAAATTAAACATCGCCACAGTAATTTTCCTAAAGCATGACTTTGATCATGTAGCTTGATGAAAAATCTTGAATGCCTTTTCAGTGTCTACTAAGACATTAAGAGCCAACTTTTTCCTAGTCAAAATATTTAACCTGAATCTAATAATGAAAAACAATCAGAAAAATCCAGATTGAGGGGCATTCTAAAAGGAACTGGTCTAACCCTAGCGGGTTTGGCTTAGTGTCTAGAGGATCGGCCTGTGGACTGAAGGGTCCCGGGTTAGATTATGGTCAAGGGCACATGCCTAGATTGCAGGCTTGTTCCCCGGAAGGCAGCCGATTGGTGGTTCTCTCTGATCATTGATGTTTCTCTCTCTCTCCCTCTCTGAAATCAATAAAAATATAGTTTTTAAAAAAGGAACTGGCCTAGAAGCTACAAAAATGCCAAAGTCAAGCAAGAAAAAAAGTGGCGAACAGTTCCAGATTAAAGGAGACTAAATAATCACATTAACCAATCATATGGTGACTTCCACTGAGCCAGGTCAGTGTGGCTCAGTGGAAGTCACCATGGGGAGGTCACTATTCCATTTTCTGTCGGGATATATGCTGTTTGCAGTCTTGATCTCTAGTAGGGAGTTTGCAGGAGGCAGCCAACCAATGATTCTCTCTCATCATTGATGTTTCTATCTCTTTCTTCCTCTCCTTTCATCTCTCTGAAATCAATAAAAAGGTTTTTTTAAAAATCATGTTAACCAAATACAATGCATGGTCCTCAATTAGATCTTGAATTAAAAAATTGTTATAGAGGTTGATGACTACACAACTGTAAATACATAAATCTATAGAAATATATACTTTTAATGAATAAACTTAATAATGTAGATAATATCTAAAAATAATAATGTGGATTTTTTTACAACTATATTAGATTTAAAAAAGTAATTATTACTATATTAAAATTTTTTAAAACTTTATTCTTTTTCAATAGAATTAAGCTTTAACATTCAATTAAATATTTTATAATTTTAGCTGAAACCGGTTTGGCTCAGCAGTAGAGCGTCAGTTTGTGGACTGAAAGGTCCCGGGTTTGATTCCGGTCAAGGGCATGTACATTGGTTGCGGGCATATCCCTGGTGGGGGGTGTGCAGGAGGCGGCTGATCGATGTTTCTCTCTCATCGATATTTCTAGCTCTCTATCTCTCCCTTCCTCTCTGTAAAAAATCAATAAGATATATTAAAAAATTTTTTATAATTTTATAAAAGCCAGATTATCAATTACATTATAACTATAGTATAAACACTACATAATTGTACAAATGGCAGTTATTCATTCTATTTATTTTCTCTACTATGCTATATTTTAGCATCCAATTATATATATTAACTTTTGCATTCAATTAGTATTTTGTTCAGCATTTCCAAGAAGTGTTTGTCTATAAGTATTTGCTTATTAGAACGAAAAGTTCCTTGAGATCAGTGATCTAATCATATGCTATTTAAATACCCTCAGGTAATAAATAAATGGTTAAATTAGTTCAATAAACAAAGGGCGTACATTAGTTCACATCTACTGACCTTTCTAAGATACAGTCTCATCTTTCCATTCTTACCTCTCACTGTTCTCCTCCACGGCATCTTGCATTTTGGAAGACAGTGCTGTATATCTGTCGCCTGTCAGTTTTTCTTCCTCTAGCACTATCCTGTTTCCATTGTATTTTTCATTCATTAGTTTGTTTGGTGAATGATCGAAAGCAGGACATAAATCTTCTTTAGAAAGTTCTTTCCACCGTTTCTAGATAAGGAAGAGAAAAAAAACAAATGCAAACACTCAAATTTTGTTTTTTCTTAATATTAAAAGAATTTCTGAATTGAAATTCTATAGTCAATTTAAGAAAACCCTATAATGTTAACTGCTAAATAGAAAAGGACCTCATTAAAATGTTACTCATGGTGCCAAAGCCGGTTTGGCTCAGTGGTAGAGTGTCGGTCTGCGGACTGAAGGGTCCCAGGTTCGATTCCGGTCAGGGGCATGTATGTTGGTTGCGGGCACATCCCCGGTGGGGGGTGTGCAGGAGGCAGCTGGTCGATGTTTCTCTCTCATCGACGTTTCTGGCTCTCTATCTCTCTCCCTTCCTTTCTGTAAAAAATCAATAAAATATATATATTTTTTAAAATGTTACTCATGGTAATTAGATTTTAACCAATGCTAGATTCTGTAAGACTTGTAATCCTCAGATATGCAACCCTAGAAGTGGTTACCAAGAATGGCACTTGAATGTGATCTAGTATCTCCTTATTCCTTGCCACTGTCTAATCTAATAAAGAACCGATGGTGAGATCTCCAAGCAGGACCCCATGATGCCAAAGGTCTTTAATTTGGTTGATCCTAGTAGGCATTCTAGCAGCTCCAGGTAGCTAGCCCACCACCCAGTTAGGGAAAACTTCTCTAGTATGCATAGACTTCAAAGTGGGCAGGATTTAGACCACAATGAAGAAAAATTACATTTTCTTCATCTATAAAACATCATCACCTACCCCTGAAGCGTGTTGTGATTAATAAGATGACCGGTGAAAGGGCCTAGAATCGTATCTAGCAAGCATTAGTCCCCTTTGCCCTTACTGCCACCCTTCCTAGAGAGAGGGGACGAGGAAGAAGAGGTGCAGAGCATTTCTAGGCCTCTGGAAGATAAAGAAGTGACAAAATACAGGCCAAAAAGGGAGAAGGTAAATATAACCTCGACACAGGGAATCACTGCCTCTGAAGTCTTTCAAGAGCTAATAAGACAACCATCCATCTCCTGCCAATAACAAGAGCAGTAGAGGAGGCAGAAGGGAGAGCAATGGCTTTGATTATTTGTAACTTCAACACTGGTACAAAATGACTTGCTATCGACGGGGAGGCCCTCTTTGAGCACCCGATCATGGAAAGATGGCGTCTCAAGTCTACAGAATAAGAAACTATACAGCTAATGTTGCAGGATTTTACTTTGATATAAAACAGCATTGTTAAAAATAATGTTTGTATATTTACATTTTTTAAATCCTGGAAAATTCATTAATACACTGATAAATTATTTTCTAATTTGCCTCATTATCATACAACAGGAATTAAAAAGAAAAGGGCATTTTACTACACTCCAACTTTCCTGTGTCTATTTTTTAAAATATATTTTTATTGATTTTTTTCACAGAGAGAAGGGGAGAGGGATAGAGAGCTAGAAACATCGATGAGAGAAAAACATCGACCAGCTGCCTCTTGCACACCCCACAACGGAGATGTGCCCACAGCCAACGTACGTGCCCTTGTCCAGAATCGAACCTGGGACCTTTCAGTCCACAGACCAATGCTCCATCCACTGAGCCAAACTGGTTTCAGCTCCTGTATATTACGTATATTATATTAATGTATCTTTTTGTTTTATAATAGTAGGTTCACAAAAGACTTAGAGAATGTAAAATTCTATAGTTTGTTATATTTGGAAGACAGTGAGTAATACAGTTTGGTATAATTTGGTGAGAAGATGAGAACACATAGAGCTGAATCCTATGAGATGAGGCCAGAAAGGAAGCAGACATTAAGGACAGAAGTCTCGGAAATTCATTTGAGAAATAACAGGGTGAAACTAAACTCTCCTGAGCAAGGACCTAAGAGGACTTAAGCCATATCCAAAAAGAATATTTTGCCAATATTGTTAAAATTACCATAATGGAACATTAGAGTAAGATGTTTTCCCTTTAGATGACTATATATCATTTTTCTTCCTTCCCTTATTTCAAATTTTTGTTATTAAGTCCAAATAGTTTTTTATATTGAAGAAGACGCAAGTCAGGAAACAAGATACTTACCAAGCATTTACTATCCTAATGCTTCAAATACAGCATTAGGACAGTAAATGCTTGGTAAGTATCTTGTATTCAAATACACTACTTTTTAATCCTAACAGGAATCTTAGGAGATAAGTACTACTTCTGTTCTTATTATAACATTTTTATAGAAGAGATGGGTTGAGAGAGTTTAAGTAATTTATCCAAGTCTATGCAGCTAATAAATAGTTGCAGAATCTTAAGCCAGTTACTCTGGATTAACTATCATATAAACCCTCAAGATTATCTGTAAAAAGCACAGCAACTTCAAACACCACATAGTTTAATAAAGTACCCAAGAGCCCTAGCCAGTTTGGCTCAGTGGATAGAGCATCAGCTTGCTGACTGAAGGGTCCCAGGTTCCATTCCGGTCAAGGGCACATGCCAGGGTTGCGACTCAATCCCAGGAGGGGGCATGCAGAAGGCAGCCAATCAATGATTCTCTCTCATTGTTGATGTTTCTATCTCTCTATATATTTATCTCTCTCTCACCCCCTTCCTCTCTGAAATCAATAAAAATATATTTTTTAAAAAGTTACCCAATAAAAAATATTAAATTGTCTCCAGAATTTATATTGGTTAATATCTGAAGTTTCTATCCTCTACTAAGACTTAGTTATAGCAACTTGGCCTTATTCTAGACAAAACTCAGCAATGTCAAAAAATGGGATAATACCAAAAATCAAGTCTTATTGAGCCACATCCCAGAATATGCAACAAATTCAGAAACTGTCAACAAGAAAAGCTCTCAGCAAAGGATGTGTGTATGTGTGTGTGTGTGTGTGTGTGAGAGAGAGAGAAAGAGAGAGAGAGAAAGAATTAATGCTGGTGATTAAAATAAAACACAATGATGTCATTTTGCCATGCCTCTGAGCAGCAAACTCTCTCAATTAAATAGGCACTTCAAAATCAACTGCCTCAAACTCTCAAATAAATAAATTAATTAATAATTTTTTAAAAAAAATATATTTTATTGATTTTATACAGAGAGGAAGGGAGAGAGATAGAGTTAGAAACATCGATGAGAGAGCGTCATCAATCAGCTGCCTCTTGCACACCCCCTACTGGGGATGTGCCCGCAACCAAGGTACATGCCCTTGACCGGAATCGAACTCGGGACCCTTCAGTCCCCAAGCCGACGCTCTATCCATTGAGCCAAACCGGTCTCGGCTAATAAATAAAATTTTTAAAAGAATATTTTCAAAAGAATAAAGCCACCATAGAAAATATAACATTCTACTGCCATAAGTACTCAAGTTGCTCATTGTTATTTTCTGATTTGTTTGTTGTTGTTTTTTTGGGTTTTTTTTTCCTATTTTATTTTAATGATTAAATGCTTAAACCCTCCTTATGTGAAAATCTTATTTTCTTCAATGTAATATTGTTCCCAGTAGGGCTTTTGAGTAACAGGCAGGATTTCACATGAGGCTGAGGTAGGTATATTTGAGGAAGTGAGCTTAAATTTTATAATTTTAAGATGGCCAGCTGGATTTGCCACATTAATGTAAATATGCCTTTTGGAAGGGAGACTGTAAGTTGCTTAAATGGAGTGCAGTTATTTGATGCTAATCAGATTTATTACACAGGTACTATTTTTTCCCTGAAAAAGCTTACCTGTATATTTGAATCTCCCTTTATAAATTTTGCTCCTTCTATTATAGTCATATATGAAAATCTGAGTTGATCTGGCGTCTGAATAAGTCCCATTCGATATTTTCTCATATTCAGTAACAGTTGTTTAATGTTAATGTCATCTCCTTTCTCCATCTGCAAATAAGGTAGAAAGTAAATTATTAAAGTCTTTTGTTATTAAGAGTTTAGGAAAGAGAAGCAATACAGGATAATTACTAAGAGTAATTAAAAATATAAAAACAATATGTCCTATGTTTTTCCTTAAAAAAAAAAAAAAGGGATAAGTTATCACCAAAGTTGTAACTTTATACAAAACCACCATCCCCAGACACCTGTCCTCCCCCCTACCTCAACTGTTTAAGTAATAGATGGAGGACTTTGGTCCTTTAGAGGATTCACAATTGATTCCAAACCACTCACGGTAACCTCATTCAACCTGACCATTATTTGGTCTAAGGAAGGATTTATGACCAGTTCTGGCATAATGAGAGGTTCACTGAGATTATTATTGCTCTTTTTTTTTTTTTTTTTTAAGGAATGTCCATACTGTTTTTATAGTAACTGCACCAATTTACATTCCCACCAACAGTGTGCAAGGGTTCCCTTTTCTCCACATCCTTACTACATTTATTATCTCTTGTCATTTTTATAGTAGCCATGCTAATAGGTGTGAGGTAATATCTGGTTTTGATTCTCATTTCCCTGATGATTAGTTATGTGGAGCACTTTTTCATGTACCTGTTGGCCATCTAAATATCTTCTTTGGAAAATGAATATTCAGATCCTCTGCACATTTTTTAATTGAATTGTTTATATTTTTGCTGTATAAGGTTTTTTATTTGTTTGTTTTTTAAAAATCAATCTTTATTGTTCATATTATTACAAAGGTTCCTCATTTCTTCCCCCCTCCACCAGGTTCCCACCCCACCCTCAGTCCCCTTCCCACCCCCCATTGTCCTCATCCATAGGTGCACAGTTTATGTTCAGTCTCTTCCCTGCGTCCACCACTCCTCCCACCCCCAAGAACTGTCAGTCCACTCCCCTCCCATATCTCCGACTCTACTACAATCAACAGCTAATATTGTTCATCAGGGTTTTCAATCTCCTTTTGTTGTTGTTGTTGTTATTGTTTTTTAATTAATAAACTTTTACACTTCTAGGAATAAATTTTAAAATCTAATAATTTTAAACCTTGTTTTTTCTGCCCTGGGAATTGAGAAGCAAACTTGTTTACATGTAAACTTGCCCTTAGGCTATCAAAAGGTGTAGCCCATTCAAATGTAAATGAACACATTGTTTAAAGATAGCTGCTGGTTGGAATTGGATTACCTGTTCTGGGTGGGAGGGGCTTGTCCTCCCCTTTCTCCATTAAAATTAAGGTGTTAGCTTTAAAACCTCTTTTTTGGCAAGAGACCTAAAACTTTTAGAACTTTAAATTTTTCAGATAGTAAATCAGTTACTTAGCATTTTTTATTTTTTTTTAAAGAAGATTGTGGCAGGAGTAAAGCTTTTCACCCTCTGCCCTTCCGTCTTCATGTCTGTGCACAGCAGCCAACTGGAGATGATGAAGAAGAAAACAGAAAGAGCCTAGATCTACAATGACATTGGTGAGCCACTGCACCAGCCTTGGACTATTGATATGATATTATAACCACCATTACCGCCATACCCCCCCACACCCCAGCTAGAATAGAAAAAAGTTGTTGAAATTATGTTTGTCAGGGAACAGGCACAAACACAATTCAGTTTTAATATTCACCATTAATAGAATGTTTTAAACATGTCAAAGTTCATTTTGATATACCAATCCAATTTTTGAATGGAATATACTACATATAGGCATCAATAAATGTATTAAGGTCCAACTGCCCTTATACCTTGTAAGTGCAGCTGCAATAGTGTACATGAGATTTTTAGAGTTTTTTGTTTTTTTGTAAAAAGGCATAAGTTTAAATTTGAAAAACACAATTCTAGGATACTGACATTAGAGCTTACTTCTGCTAATGAAAACAATACAAAAGTAAACATGCCTAAAATTAGATCATAAGAGGCACTTACCAGAACAAGACATGTATCTACCAGAGAAAAGGTGCCTGACCGCCCAATGCCTGCACTACAGTGAATCACTGCAGGCCCATGTTCAGGATTCAAGGAACCAGATTCTCTCACTTTACATAAAAAATTCAGAAATGAAGCTGGTGATTCAGGGACTCCAAAATCAGGCCAGGTAGTATAATGAAAGTGAGATATTGTTCTGGTTTCACCACTCTAAAAGGTAAAAATCAAGGGGAAAAGTTAGTTCTAATTTTTTTCTTTTAAAAAAATTACTTCAGAAAGGTTATGTATTTTGTGCAATGTTTTTAATCCTATGGACTTTTTGTAGCTGATTTTTCCTTTGTGTTTTGATAATAATTTATACAAGTTTGGGAAGATTTTATCGTTTAGATTATTTTAATAATAGCTAACATTATTTTGCAGGTGTATTCTAAGTGTTTTATGTATTGAACATTTAACTATACTTTTTAAAAACATTTACAGAAATGGGAGAAAACAGAACTAAAAGGTTAAGTCATTTATCCAACATCACACATTCAGAAATTGGCAGAGCCAGAATTTAAAGATGCAATCTGGTACAGCATTTGGATTCTTAACCACTAACCTGTATCATATATGTTGCGAATTATTTTATTTTACTCATACATGATGATGAGTAAATTTTCTCCCCTACTTTTAAAAATGTCTACCATACCGAAACCGGTTTGGCTCAGTGGATAAGAGCATCAGCCTGCAGACTGAAAGGTCCTGGGTTCGATTCCAGTCAAGGGCATATACCTTGGTTGAAGGCATATCCCCAGTGGGGGGGGTGCAAGAGGCAGCTGATCGATGATTCTCTCATCGATGTTTCTAACTCTCTATCCCTCTCTCTTCCTCTCTTTAAAAATCAGTAAAATTTTACATTCTTTAATGGTTTCCCTTTTAAAACTTCCAATTTTTAAAAAGATATAATCTTTTCCATTCTGTGAATTATCTTTCAGATTCTGGTACAAAGGCACAAAGGAACAACTTAAGAATTAATTTTTAAAAATTAATTGAAATTGCTCTTTTAATTGCTGCTTTTCCCTATGGTAATAATTTCCAGTCCTAAAACTGTTTATATGCCTTTACTGATATGCTAAAATGGTTTACCAACATGCTAAATGTTTCCTGTCTCTTAATGCCTGCCTGGCATTCACTATCACTTCCTGGACATTCCTGATGATCTTTATTTCTGACTAACTCATTATGAAAATGTTCCTTAGCTTTTGCCAATTGCCTTTTGCCCCAAGAAGCACTTATGTGCCTTATACTTTTCATTTCTGTAAACGAAGCAAAAATCCTCTAACATGTCTTTGCACAATTTTTCAGTTTTATTATGTTTTTGGAATGAGAAGCTATAAAAGCAACATAAAAAGTCATGATATTTTTAATGGTTATCAGCTAAACATTATTATTATTATAGCATCTGCTTTCAATATAAATTTTCAAAACTAAAGTCAGTTTTCACTTAAAAAAAAAAACAATAAAATTTCCCCTTTTTCAGTAGAAATTAAGAGTCCTAAGTCCCAGACTATGTTATATCAGTCAGGTATAGAACTGATAAAAAAAAAAAAAAAAAAAAAAAAAAGTGTAGAAATTTAAAAATATTTTTTAAAAAAGTTCAGTTATAGTGTGACTAATTTTATATCCAGCTTTCATAATTCCAAATATATCATGATCCTGCACAGATTAATATACTAAAGTCCTAGAATATCTTCCTATCCTATATAATAAAGAGCTAATATGCAAATCGTCATCACACCCTCACCCCATAATGGCTCACACACTCAACATTGGGGTGAGAGGAATGGGGACCAGTCAGACTGTGGGCCAGGAGAGGGACAAGCCTCATGCCCCACAGTCCCAGGCACCTGCGGCTGCAGCCCAGATGAAGCCACCTGCCCAGAGTCCCCTGAGGGAGTGGCTGTCCCGTGTGCAAGCTGGCCCGAGTCCTGGGTGCTGTGGGCAGCCAGAAGGAGGGAAGCCTGGGTCCCAGTTGTGGGGAGAGGCAAAGGCGGTTAGGAGTGATCAGGCCAGCAGGGAAGTAGTTAGGGGAGATCAGGCCTGTTGGGGAGCAGTTATGGGCAATCGGGCAGGCAGGCAGGTGAGCAGTTATGAGCCAGCGGTCTTGGATTGTGAGAGGCAATCAGACATCATCTGAGGGGTCCCAGATTGGAAAGTGTGCAGGCCGGGCTGAGGGACACCCCTCCCACATGCACGAGTTTTATGCACCAGGCCTCTAGTTACTAATAAAAGTGATCATTGTGGTTACTAGACTTCAAAATATTTCCAAAGTATGGGAAGTGAAGGAAGCCAATCTGTAAAAGATACCTAATGTATGATTCCACTTACATAACAGTCTGAAAAAGGCAAAATTATAGAAATAGAAGCAGCTAGTGGATTCCCGAGCTGGGGGAAGAGGGGGTAGGGCTGCCCATACACAGATAGGAGAAAATTTGGAGAGGGATGTTGATGGGGGGGGGGGGGGGGGCGCGCACGCGCGAGCAGTTACACAACTAAATGCATTGTCAAAACTCAGAACTATATACTAAAAAGATTCATCTTATTGTATATGCAAGAGGGAATTAAATTTACTGTATTAAAGAAAGGTACTTAAAACATTCAAATTAAGAAGGTTTTTACAAAGTCATAAACAGACAATAAATAAAACCACCTGCAGTGCTAACCATGCACAACAGAGCCAGACTTGGTCCATGTGAGCCTAAACCAGATACGGTATGAATCTGGTAGATAACCCAAGTCTTGGGGAGGTAGCCCCAGGACCCTGCTTGCATTTAAGCTGTGTTCTTTAAGGTGTGGCCCAGTGTTCCTACGTGGTTATATGCTCAGTTATTGCATCAGCTCCTGGCTCAAAACCTATAGTTACCTCACAATCTTAAGTGACTGCTTGCTTTTTCTTCGCTTGTATGATTTTGGCTCAAGTCTAGTGGTCCCTTGTGTGTTTTTCCCCCCAAATTCAGGTCATGGTGTCTGAGATACTCAAAGCCAGTTCCCAGAAATGCTTGCAACTGTTTGTATAATACAGTCTTCTCCACTAATAGATTTTTGAAAATCAGTCTTTTTCTTCTCTACCAGACTAGCCTAAATACTTCCTTAACTTAATCCTATTGGGGGAAAAAAGATTAAAAAAACATAACTCATAAAACCATGTAAGTCCCAAAAGACCACATCAAGCAATAAGAGACTTATGCTTACTCTGTGGCATAAAAAAATGTTTTTATATGCATAACTGGACCACCTTTCCCTCTTTTTCATGTGGGGAAAAAGGCTTGCCAATGGATAGAGCTAAAATAAAATGAATCTTTATTCCAAACAAGCTCTACATTTCAACTTTAGAATATCTGACAAACACCTTATTTCAAAACTGTGGAAGCACTCTTTCCTTCCCCCAAGTCACTATGTCACATCAGTTTTTCTTCAGTGATGCCCAGTCCCACCCCTTTCCCACTTTTGTACCTCACACCCACATACAACTGGTTTGCATCCGCAACTGCATAACTATCCCCATCTCTGGCTGCTCTGTACATGCTTGCTAAATTTTCTCTGTAAAATGTTGCATTATGTGTACTAACTCTACATAAAAATGTCAGTGGGTCACTATTTTAAGGCAAAAAAAATCTCATTTACATTTTTTGAAGGAGAATTTTAAAGTCTTTGAATAAGGATCTCAAACTCATTATGTGGGGAAGGGAGGGTGTAAAAGTAGGTTTACTGTTATTTGTATAAAAAATACAATAATTAATAAATAACATTAAAAGTAAACTCTGTATTTCGCATAGTCACAACTGTAAACCTACATCTGCCCCACCCTGTGTATGGAGACCAGAAAGACAATCTAGAGTTGAGTAGGTTTGAGACAATGAGGAGTGATAGACTTAAGGCAGTGATAAAATTTAAGTGCATTGCTGAAACCGGTTTGGCTCAGTGGTAGTGTCGGTCTGCAGACTGAAAAGTCCCGGGTTCGATTCCAGTCAAGGGCATGTATGTTGGTTGCGGGCACATCCCTGGTGGGGGGTGTGCAGGAGGCAGCTGGTTGATGTTTCTCTCTCATCGACGTTTCTGGCTCTCAATCTCTCTCCCTTCCTCTCTGTAAATAATCAATAAAAATATTTTTTTTTACATTTTTTTTTTAAATTTAAGTGCATATCATCTAAAGTCGTTTAAGTTAATTATTTTTATTATCAATATACATTAAATTATATATTTTCTAATTAGTATAAGAAATCTATACAGCTCTCTGGTTCCAAGTCTAATTATTTTTACACTTTAAGCATATACAGGAAGTACCAAGATTATGATTCCAAAAGGCTTTCATAAGCACTGTAAATGGGGTTAACAATAGTACTTACCTGAGAAGGCTATTGTGAGGAATAACTGAAACGACGAATGCAAAGTGCCTAACATATGCTTGCACATGATAAATGTTTAACATAAACTATTTCTGAAACTATTACTCACTAATTGCCTTTATTGTAGCCCCTAATAAGCTCCAATCAATTGTAAACTCTCCACATTTTCTTTTTTTTTTTTTTTTTAATATATTTTATTGATTTTTTACAGAGAGGAAGAGAGAGAGCTAGAGAGCTAGAAATGTCGATGAGAGAGAAACATCGACCAGCTGCCTCTTGCACACCTCCTACCGGGGATGTGCCTGCAACCGATGTACATGCCCTTGACCGGAATCGAACCTGGGACCTTTCAGTCCACAGACCGACGCTCTACCAGTAAGCCAAACCGGTTTCGGCCAACTCTCCACATTTTCAATATCGTCACTTAATATTTCCTCTGCACTTGAAGAATATTGAAGTTTATTAACCCTATTTCCTAAATACTGATTTATCAAATAAGTATTCTCATTGTCACCACCTTAGTCTCTCATTATTTTTGCCAGGAGACATATATTATCCATGTTAAATATTTAGTTACTTTGATTTACCTAGTTTGAAAGATTAATAGAACTCACAAGATCCAAAGGGGAGGAGAGTGACATGAATAGTTAGGGTATGGATTTTCATTCTAAGAAAAAAGCAATACTCAGGGGCATGGGCCCCCAAGGAAAAGCCTAGGTGGAAGTGTAAGTCTTTTAGCAAGAATAAATCCTGAGTGCCTGAGGAGATTAGACAAGGAGGCAAGGACCAGACTGGGCCAGGTCATAGACTTCTGCATTGCCCATGGAAGGTTTTTAGAGCATGGTGGAAGAATCAGGCCTGTGTTTGAGAATGACCACTCAGGTGCAGTATGGTAAAAAAAAAAAAATTGTACTCAGTGCAATGGCAAAGGGAAGTTCAAAGGTAATGAGGAGTGCCCATGAGGAGTGCCCATGAGGAGTTGAAAACTTTGTTATATGGATTCAAAATACATAATACATGTACTGAAATAGTGAACAAGCCAGTACAATGGTAAAACTTAAATTATGGAGAGAAACTTGTAGTTGGTAGAAATAAATATATTGCAGATATGAGATCTAAGTAAGAAAATGGACACAACTAAGATAGCACTTGAAGGCTACAAATAGAGAAAGAGAGAAGAAGAGAGGGACTTTCCAGGTGGGATAAACTTTTATGCTATTTTAACTCAAATCCCAGCTAAACTTCATAATACTTACATAGTCATCTATTTTGGGCAAATCTCCAGGAACAGAGAAATAGAAAACTAGCTGTTGGCATTACATTATTATTCCTGGAACTTGGTAAACATAAAGCTGGCCAACAAAATTATGGAAAATAGTGAAAGGCAACTAAAAAAACACCTAAAAAAACAAGTAAGTACTCTTGATGACCTTGTATTTTAAAAGCCCCTCAAAAATATCTTCACAGCTTAAGCCACAGGGCCACTTTAAAAGCAGAGATTGAATCTCTTCATTCAGGGCCAAAGTTCAGACTCTTAGCTCTAATCAAGACACTGGAGAAAACTGCTGGTATGTAGCTTTACTGCTCCATTAGACAAGAGGTCTGTGAAGAGCAGGGCCTGCACAGACAGCTTTTTGTCTTGGATCCGTTAATAGCTACAAGCCAGACTCCTTTAGAAGCCAACTGGTACTCTGAAGCTCAGGGATATCAAGAAAGATTTGCAGGGGGAAACGGGGAGGGGGGGGCATACGAGGGATAGGGGCCTGCTAGAGGGTCAATGAGGGGGTAAAGGGGGGACATTCATAATACTTTCAACAATAAAGCTTAAAAAAAAGATCTGCAGATGAGGTTAGCTATCCTCATCTACTTCATCACCTCTCCCTCCCTCATTATTTCTTTCTCCCTCAATCTGTTCTTTTCAATTGCCCTTACTCCACAGACTGTTTCAATTCATTAGTATTACAAAGGAAAAAGATATAGGCAACTACAGCTAATAACTATGGATCCTGCACTGAGTATTTGACATTCTTAAGGTATTAATTCACCTGATACTTAATGACCCCATGGGACAGGTACATCACTACCCTCAACTTGCAGATGAGAAAACTGAGGCACAGAAGTTAAGTAATGAGACCAATCACACAACCAAGAGCAGTGAGCTGGGCCTTAAACTCAGGCAATCTGGTTCCAGAGTCTAAATATCTAATCAAATGCAATTCTACCTTTCATATTGCAATGCTACTTTACTCTTCCAACATTCCTGGTTCATACTAAAGTTCATAAAATAGAATATAAACAAATTGTTGCTATTTAATTATGGTAGACTGAACCCAGGCCAGTAAGAAATCATGCAGTTGCTAGCAACTAAAACAGAGTGGCTGGTCAGCTCACATGGTAACCACAACTTTAAAAGATGCTTTAGAACAAGAACTTTGTTTTTCTACAATTAGCATCTTTTGAAAAAACTTAACCCCATGTCATTAGAATATAGGAAATCTGAATTTGAGTTCTGGTCTGTCACTTATTAGCTGAGTAGTCTATCTATAGGAGTGGGGGTGGGAAGATTCCTGTAACCTAATAGATTTTAGTGTTCGGTGGTTTTAAAGAAAATATGAAATAAAGGGATAGTAAGAATATTTACTCTATCCACATTCTAGGAACACTGTGGGTCAAATGATATGTGAAAGTGCTTTGTTAACTAATAAATAAAATACAAAAGTCACTTATTATTTGAAATAAAATTAATTTTCAATTAGGTTTCAGAAACAGGGAAAAACATCTATGTCCTTCTTCATTTTAATGCCATAGAGATGAGGTACCTGCAATAAATACCAAAAGAAGATGATTCAGAGAACCATGAGAAGTTTATGGAAATGCAATTGTTTCTGGGAATAGCATTGTACAATCCAATATCAAATAGCTGTTGATGGATCACAATGCAGCGTAAGACATATGTAAATGGAACAGTTGGTGCAGAATAAATATAGTAAGGAAAACTTGAAAATGTATTAAGTCTAAGCCTTATAATTCCCAACCCTGAGCCTTTTTAGAGGATCTAAAGAGGTCACATAATAAGCTTAGTTATGGAATTCATGGAAAGTACATAGCATGCACCTGTGCTTAGAGTATAAAATAAAAACAGAGGTATTCAAGAGATCAACCACAGAAGTATTATTAGGTATCTAGAAAGTACTTTTATATATATCCCTTTGTTATCTGTAAAGCTTTTTTTGTTAATAATCATGTTAGTCGATCCACTTAATGGTTAACTAAAACAGAATCTCACATTATAGACTAGATACATTCTGCTTTGTTTTGTTTTCTTTGGACTAGATACATTCTTATGTATTCATGGCAGGCAAACATTTTCCTATTTTTCTTAGTTTCTAATTGCATTTCAGAATCACTCTCATTTCATATTTTCTAGTTATTCTAATTACAATACAAAGAAGGTAAAAGAGACAAGTGGGAAAAGGGGAGAAAGCTTGATCCCCAGCTTGACAATAGCAGGCTCACAATCCACCATTTACATGTATCTCAGCCAAGTACCAGAGAACAATTCTTACATTTCTGGGAAAAATCCAAGTATATAATCTTAAGACCACATGTTTAATTTATTTCACCATTTCTCCCAATTCAATAACGCCAAATTTCTGTGTGGTGAATCACTTAAATTAACAACCTTCCAGTAAGTTATTTTTTTAAATAGCTTGCTACTCTGAACAGTGGTAAGTATCAGGAGCTGTCATTTATTAGGTTCCTATTCTGTCAGGTGCTATGCATACACATTTTCATTTGATTTCAACAGTCCAGAAAAGGAAGTATTGTGATAAAAATGTATGTGCTGTTCTAAACTTCAAATCTAATAACAAAGAACACCTGAAACTAATATAATATTGTGTCAATTATCCTTTCTTTTAAAATCTACTAAAGAATAACTCTTTAAATCTTCATATAAAATCCAATCTTTGGGGCATGAAAGTCTTACATTGATATTTTCTAACTGCAGTAGATGCACTGTATAGTATGACTTCACATCTTCTGACAAGAACTTCACACTGAATCCTGTTTCTTTAAACAGCATCTCCCGGTCGTCTTTTGTTGGCCAGTACTGTGCACATTTAACCTAAATTTAAGAATATGTGTTTATGTATATTTAGAATATATATTTAGAATATAGACATTATAAAACCATAAAAAGTTGGGGAGAAAAACAAACCACATACACAGATACTATTTTTTTTTTTTTTTGCAACAACCCAAATCTAAGAACAGTCACACTATATTTGATGTTTATTTTAATTTGATGGACAGTTTATAAGGGCAGGTTTATAAAATGTTCCTATAACTTATACATGAAACCCATAAACAGGTATCATACTCATAAAATAAAAATGAACCCGTCATTTCAAAAGCATGATAACATAGACTTTAACATCACACAGGCAATTCCCTTTTTGTTTCCAAGAGTACCATACACAAAGAATCTTATATTCAAATAATACTGAAAAGGCTCTACTTTATAAAGAGTTTTCATATCTATGAATCTACTACTAAATGCTACATATCTAGAGATAACACTGCATATTTACTTACTAAAATTAAGTCAGGCAAGAGAATCAGAAGGTAACCCATCTTTATCTAGAGTTATTACCTTTTGGCAGAACTACGTACTAATATGGAATTCAGTTTGTGATAATAAAAGCATCTTCCCAAAACCCAAATGATGAAGCCAGTAGGCTGAGGCAAGATTAGTCATTAATAGACCACATCATTTTAGAAAAGAAGACTAATTAAACTAAAAGGAACAGAGACATGAATAAACAAAACAGATCATTTGTTAAGAGGAAAAGAAGAAAATTAAAATAAAGATGTAAAAAGAAATGAAGTGACAAATAGAATTAGAGAGACATTGTGATAAATATAAAAATGGGCAAAGAAAATCTAACACATATATAACAGAAGGACCTAAAAAACACCAAAGCAAGCAAGAGAATAATAAAAGTGTGATTTAATAAAATTTTCTTTAAAAAGAGAAAAAAATATTTCAACTCACATATTCAGAGTACACTATGCACATGGAGAAACTAACCCAGAATGGCCAACATAGACATACTTAGGTACAATTAATAGAATATGGAGGAAAAAAATCCCTTGAGTAACCTAGGTTTAAAAAAAGTGACTTATAAAGGAAAAACAATAAAATTTCCATTTGACATTGACAGTAATTTGAATGCCAGAAAGAAATGAATATATTTAAGTTGCTCAAAGAAAAGCTAACATAAAAAGGATTTCATGTCTTGCCAAAGTGACTTTTAAGCATTAAGACAGCATGTAAACTGTTATCAACTTGTCAGAAATCAGGGACTATAATATAACTAGAGGCCCGGTGCACAAAATTTGTACATGCAGGGGACGGCAAGAGGGTGATCCCTCAGCCCGGCCTGCACCCTCTCTAATCAGGAACCACAGGCTCCTAACTGCTCACCTGCCTGCCTGTCTGATGCCCTTAACTGCTCCCTTGCCGGCCTGATCCCCCTGACTGCCTACCTGCTCTCCCCTCCTGGCCTGATCACCCTAACTGCCTATTTTTTCTCCCTTCTCCTCTGTGTCCTTCAGACCCCTGGTACAGGCATGCTAAGAGCTCTCCGTTGCGCCCCGGACCGCATCCTGATTGGTCGTTATGTGATAGCATTCTGGACAATTTGAATATTCCTCTACTATTAGTATAGAAGATGCCAGTGAGTCCTTCCTTAGGATCCACCAGAAAATGACTATAGACAGAACTGGAAAGTCATCAATAAAAACTAGTGATGAATATTAAATACACATTTACATGTAGAACTAAGATTTCTAAAGGGATGTAAGAGGAACTCTAGTATGCTATATACTCTGACAATGTAGATAACACATAAAAACCCCCAGAAAGGCCAGGACCGGTTTGGCTCACTGGATAGAGAGTCGGCCTGCGGACTGAAGGGTCCGGTCAAGGGCATGTACCTTGGTTGCAGGCACATCCCCAGTGGGGGTGTGCAAGAGGCAGCTGATCGATGACTCTCTCTCATCGATGTTTCTGGTTCTCTATCCCTCTCTCTTCCTCTCTGTAAAAAATCAATAAAATATATTAAAAAAAAAAAAAAAAAAAAAAAAACACAACCCAGAAAGAATGGGAAAAAAACAAACTTTTAAACATTTTTCAGTATTTATTTTGGTGATAAAGTTGATACTGTTTTTAGGATTAATCTTTCTGTGCAATTTGGGACAATTGTCCAGGATGCTATCACATGAGTCGTTATAAGATATTCTACATCCCTAGTGTCTTTTGAGAACCAAAATTGAAGGTAACAAATACAAATTAAGCCAACCCCTATAGTCCTAAATTTAATTTGGAAATATTAGTATGAACACCTGAGGTATTATCTTAACATACAAATGTATTTCTTTCTCTAGCTCTGTTCACTGAAAAGTTTTAAAAACAATGACCAACCCAGTATTAAGACTCCTTAAAGACATGCCTAATCCTGGCCGGTATGGTTCAGTGATTGAGTGTTGACCCAGGAACTAAGAGGTCATTGGGTTGATTCCTGATCTGGGCACATGCCAGAGCTGCGGGCTCAATCCCCAGTAGGGGGTGTGCAGGAGGCAGTCAGTTTCTCTCATCAATGTTTCTATCTTTCTATCCTTCTCTCTCTAAAAATCAATAAAAACAGCCGAAACTGGTTTGGCTCAGTGGATAGAGCATCGGCCTGCAGGCTGAAGGGTCCCAGGTTCAATTCCGGTCGAGGGCATGTACCTTGGTTGTGGACACATCCCCAGTAGGGGGTGTGCAAGAGGCAACTGATCGATAATTCTCTCTCATCTATGTTTTTAACTCTCTATCCTTCTCTCTTCTTCTCTGTAAAAAGTCAATAAAATGTACTTGACCTCCAGTGGGGGACTTGCAGGAGGCAGCAGATCTATGAGTCTCTCTCTTCATGGATATTTCTATCTTTCCCTTTTCTTTCCTCTCTGAAATCAATAAAAACATATTAAATTAAAAAAAATAAATGCCAGATTCTATGAAGAAGAGTTTTAAGATTAACCTTCAATATGTAGTTAGTCCAGATAGCAAGAAGGCTATTAAGGACTCTTAGGTTTGTTTTAAAAGGATGCATGGCCCAACTTGAAGAGATAGCAGGAATCTTTTCAAGTAAAATGAATCAAAAATTTTTAATCCATGAGTTCATAATAATGATATGCCCCTCCTTCAGACTAAAAAACAAACAAACAAACCTAATTGGTCACCTGTTGAGGACACTAAGGAATCAACTTTGTTTTAAAAACTGCTTTTTCTATATAAAAGTGGTCAAGCAACTAGAATGAAAAAAAATTTTAATATAAGTATTTTAACATAAACTCAAAAAGGAATGATAAAATTTTAATATCATTATTTTATCATTATATATCCTCCTAAACGAAGGAACTAAGGACTGAACAACAATGGCTGCTAACATCATAAAAAAGAAAGATAATCAGACATTATAGGCCTCTTGATAAATAACATACCACCTATGAAGTAATCATCCCTGAAATAATTAAACCTGAATCCTCTTAAGTGTCTAGATCCAACCACCATAAATAGGATCTCCAATTTTTTGTGGCAATCTTATCTTAATATAGTAATAATACACCAAAGTGAAGGCTAAAATTAATAAATCATCTAGTTTGCAATGCTGCTCAAATTGACAATGCCATTATCACTTAATTTTTATATCATATTGGAAATCATGAAAAATCACTGTAACATTAGGCATTCTGGTATGTCAATTCCACTTCAGATTAGAGATAAATTAGAAAAATTTTCACCACCACAGGAAACCGGCAACTATAAATTTAGATAACAATAAGAATCAGGAATCTAAAGTAGAATAGTCCAAGATCTTAAGGCTGAAAGAGACCTTAATGATAATACTTTCCAATGTGCTGGGTTGACAGAAAATCAACCTAAAGCTGCAGTTAAAAGACTTCACATTTCAAAACTTTCCCACTTACTATCTCATGACTGAACAGCCAATAATAATCTATAAAGATTTTAAAAATATCATCACTTTAATCTTTTATAAAACTTCCAAGAATTTTTATAAGTTGTAAAGATTCTAATAAAGTCTAGGTGTTCAAAAGTTTTATATGTCCTACTAGTTAGTATTTGTTCCATTATATTTATATCTTCGAGGGTAGTATCTGCAATTTAAATTAAATATTTAAGATAAGAAAGGAAAAGCACACATTAGTTCTTTGGATAAGAAACACCATGACTACTAGCCTTTAGCAATTAAAGACCCAAAGTTATAAATGATTAGCACAAAAGAAAATGAAAACATTTATAAGTTAACAATCACAAGCAGGACACTAAGCTATAAATATTAAGTATTACTCACCGACTCTTTCTCTACAACTCGGTTCAGCATCACAACTGCTTTCGTCTTTTGCTGCCAAACCATGAGCCAAAAATGACAAGCTGTATTAGGAAGTGGACCCTATAAGAACAGTGAAGAAAGTAGATTAAGAGAAAGATGATGGAATGAGGCTCAAGGAAAACTCCTCATAGTATGCTTCTGGGTCATAATTGGTAAATTACAATTTTAAATCCACTTGAATTTAAAAATATATCTGGGTCTGGGTCTGGTCGGTGTGATTCAATGGTCAGAGTGTCATCCTGAGCACTAAAGGGTAACAGGATCAGTTTCTAGTCAATAGCACATACCTGGGTTGTAGGCTCAATCTCTAGCCCTGGTCAGTCTGTCATAGGTGGGAGGCAACCAATCAATGTGTCTCTCTCAAATCAAATCTCAATATCTCTCTCTCTCTCTCTCTCTCTCTCTCTCTCTCTCTTTCTCTCTCTCTCTCTCATCACTGTTTCTCTCTCTCTCCCCCTTCCTCTCTGAAATCAATAAAAATATATTTTAGAAGAGAGAATTTGTGCCATTACTAACCAACCAACCCAAGTTAATTACAAAACGAATTCCAGAAAAAGTAGAAATTTCAAAGTACCTAAACCACTATAATTGTTCATCTACAAAACTATAGCTTGTGTGACCTCAACAGTAGAATTTAAAGGGGCAACATACTACAATAATGCGATGAGGAAAAAAAGCAAATCATATTACGTACTTCCAATTATCTTCACATTGTGTAGCATAGGGCAGAAAAAAGGACAAATAAGAGATGAAAGATCATGCCCAAATTATGAATAATTTTAAATAAGTGAAGGTTAAAAAAAATGAGTTTCAATGTAACTCAGCATACATTCACCTCAGAGGACAGGTGGTAGAGTGGTGAGTGAGGGGCAGAGTGAGGATACTGGGCCAGGTCAGCCTTGAGCTTCAGCTCCACAAGGAAAACAAGGTTATTCAACTAGTACCAGACTGAAAGCATCTATAGGGCAGTTATATTCCCTGGTATGTAACAGATGCTCTTAACTATTATTTGAATACATAAACTCTAAGCTTCTAAGTTATTAAAATACGAGAATCCCAAGAAACTGCACCCTAATGTTTGAGGATACTGTTCTCACTCAACATATATTATCTATTGCTTGATCCAATTCTTTAAAAAACAAAGCAAAAAACAAAAAAAACACGAACATTGAAATGGTAAAAAGAGCAATGGGTAAATCCCCAGAAAAACTAATACCTTTTCTTTAAACTAAAAAAAATGGATGTATCAACCCACCAATGAAGTCACTCCTACCACATTCTGAAAGTAGTTTTAAAAGGGGACAAAGGTTTATCTCTCTTACCAGCAATACTACCAACTTCCTTCTATAAAATGAAGATTTATACCAAGGGGCTGATATGTATATATTTTTTAAATTCATAAAAGTCAGAGGAAAAGATGATAAAAAAGCAACAATACAATCAGAAAAACTAAGGTTATAATAAATATTTAGCATCTCTAATTTTCTCTATCCTTTGAAATATTTTCTGAGTATGTTTTCTTTCCAGTGTACTAGGTACAAGGGCAAGATCAGTCTCAGTCTTCATAGAACTTACAATGGAGAAGAGAAGAAGTGACCTGGAATATAAGGAAACAAAAACAAAACAAAAACACCCAGTCATCCCTGGTCGGTGTGGCTCAGTTGGTTAGAATAGATTCGATTCCCAGTCAGGGCACATGGCTAGGTTATAGGTTGATCCCCGGCCCTGGTACCAGTTCATGTGGGAGGCAACCAATTGATGTCTCTTTCACATTAATATTTCTCTCTCTCTACCTCCCTTAATATTATAAATATACAATTTATCTTTGGGATATTTAAAAATCACTAATTAGAGGAAATGACATCACTATTAATTATGTATATTATTTGATAAATACAGGTTACTTGATATAGTTTAACCAAAATAATTTATATTATCTCAGAATGGGAGAAAAGTAGTACTGGAATACAGGTGTGGCCAATGGGCCAAGAAACAATGAGGCAAAAATGCCGAAAGGAACCACTAGGCTCTCTGGTCTCCTAGTCAGTCCTCTGTCCTAAACAAAGGCCCAAAGGCAGACACCACCTCGGGCGTATCCATACTCTCAAAACATATATGCCAAAGAGGGGAGGAGTGAAGAGCTTTCAAAGTCTCTGGATATCACACAGATTATATGGAGAGAAATGGAAAAAGCTAATAAAATATTAACAAAGGCATTATATCAAGTATAAAGCAAGGAAAGAACTTGCCTGAAAAGAACTGGCTGGAGCCATTTCATTAAAAATGTTTCCTTCACAGAATATATAACATTAAAATTAACTTTACTTAGCCAAAACTGGTTTGCCTCAATGGATAGAGCGTCGGTCTGTGGACTGAAAGGTCCCAGGTTCAATTCCAGTCAAGGGCATGTACATTGGTTGCAGGCACATCCCCAGTAGGGGGTATGCAGGAGGCAGCTGGTCGATGTTTCTCTCTCATCGATGTTTTAGTTCTCTATCCCTCTCCCTTCCTCTCTGTAAAAAAATCAATAAAATATATATATTTTTAAAAATTAACTTTACTTTTATCTTAAATATACAAAGTTGTAAAACAACATAATTTCTATAACTCATTATATACATAGCAAAAGAAGTGAAATAGCATTTCATTTCCAAAAGAAGTCAAAACATACTTTTATCTGTTTTAAATAGAAAATCACAGAAACTGCACTGTCAGTTACTTGCTCCACCTCACATCACTTGCCTGTGTTAAGATGTAACTCCTTTGTGCCTCTTCTATGTCAACTAAGCTGGCATTAATATAATCATTTTCAGCATTTTGCAGTTTAACACGACTGTGATCATCTGAAAAAGAGAATAAGCCGTAACTGTTATTTCAAACTTGTCATTACCATTTTTAAGTTTAATTTCTAGATATTTATAAAATGAAAGAGGAAGAGAACCTTAAAAATTCCACCAAAAAAAACCTACTATAACTGATATGTGAATTCAGTAAAGGAGCAAGATATAAAATACTAGAAATTGGTTGCATTTTTGTACACCAATAATGAACTATCAGAAAAAGCAACTAAGCAAACAATCCCATTTACAAATGCATAAAAAAAACACAACCACCTATGAATAAATTCAACCAAGGAGGTAAAGAATTATATTCAAAAAATTTTAAGATACTGCCTAAACCGGTTTGGCTCAGTGGATAGAGCGTCGGCTTGCAGACTGAAGGTCCCAGGTTCAATTCCAGTCAAGGGCACATACATTTGTTGCAGGCACATCCCCAGTGGGAGGTGTGCAGAAGGCAGCTGATCGGTGTTTCTCTCTTATCCATGTTTTTAACCCTCTATCCCTCTCCCTTCCTCTCTGTAAAAAATCAATAAAATATTGTTTTAAAAAAATTTAAGATATTAAAGAATCTGGAGAAGATACAAATAAATGAAAGCATATACTGTGTTCATGAATTAGAAGAACTAACATTATTAAAGTGTCCATATAATCCAAAACAATCTTTAGATTCAATGCAATTCCTTTCAAAATACCAGTGGTATATTTCACAGAACTAGAACAAATAACCCTAAAGTTTATATGGAGCCATAAAAGACTTCTAACAGCCACATCTATCTAAAAGAAGGAAAACAAAATTGGAGGTATGCTACCTGATATCAAACTGTAATATCAAGGCTATAGTAATCAAAACAGTATGGTACTAGCATAAAAACAGACATATAGATCAATAAAACAGAACAGAGAATGCAGGAATAAACCCATGCCTATATGGTCAATTAATATTTGACAAAGGCAGCAAGCATATACAACGAGATATATGACAGTCTATTCAATAAATGGTGTTAGGAAAATTGAACAGACATGACAAATTAAAATAGACCACTTTCTTATACGATGTAAGGATAAAGTAAAAACAAATTAAAGACTTAATGTTAAGGACAACCAAGATGGCAGCATGGGTAAATGCCGGTACTTGCCACCTTCCACAATAACATCAAATTTACAACTAAAATACAGAACAAATATCATTCAGAATTGCCTGAAATCTGGCTGAATGGAAATCCTACAACTAGAGAAGTAGAGAAAATACATCGAGACTGGTAGGAGGGGTGGAGGCGAGGTACAAGCTTGTCTGACACAACACCCACGGTGACATTTTTTTAATGAGGTATAATAACTAATCTGTGGAGGGCCCAGTGAGAAGCAAGGGGTCCCAGCCCCATACCAAACTTCCCCAAAGATCATTTAGATTCCTGGTGCCTACCAACAAAAATGAAAAAATAAAAACTGGCCTCAAATTGATGAGACGAGATTTCTATAGTACCTATATAATTTTCTTCATCCCTCAATAGGTCTGCACTCAGCTACTATAATCCCACTTATCTGCTGGATGCCTGAAGCTGTAGCTAGTACTGAACTTTATGTATATTTTTTTCAATACATAACTATGATAAAGTTTAACTTATAAATAAGGCACAGTAAGACATTAACAATAACTAGTAATAAAGTAAAACAATTATAACTACACTAGAGGCCCGGTGCATGAAATTTGTGCATGGGGGTAGGGGATGTCCCTCAGCCCAGCCTGCACTCTCTCCAATCTGGGACTTCTCGAGGGATGTCCCTCTCACAATCCAGGACTGCTGGCTCCCAACTACTTGCCTGCTTGCCTTCCTGATTGTCCCTAACTGCTTCTGCCTGCCAGCCGGATCACCCCTAACCACTCCCATGCCAACATGATTGATGTCTAACTGCTCCCTTGCCAGCCCGTTTGCCCCCAACTTCCTTCCTCTGCCGGCCTGGTCACCCCTAACTGCCCTCCCCTGCAGGGTTGATCACCTTAACTGCCTTCCCTTGCAGGTCTGGTGCCTCCCAATTGCCCTCCCTTGCTTGCCTGATCACCCACAACTGCCCCCACTTGCAGGCCTGGTCCCTCCCAACTGCCCGCCTCTGCTGGCCATCTTGTGGTAGCAATATTGTGTCCATATGGGGGCAGCCATCTTGTTGGAGTGATGGCCAATCTGCATATTACTCTTTTATTAGATAGGATAGAGGCCTGGTGCATGGGTGGAGGCCAGCTGGTTTGCCCTGAAGGGTGTCCCTGATCAGGGTGGGGGTTCTCTTGGGGTGTGGGGCAGCCTGAGTGAGGGGCCTGTGATGGTTTGCAGGCCAGCCACACCTCTTGGCGACCCAAGCAGAGGCCCTGGTATCTGGAATTTACTTTCTACAATTGAAACTTTGTAGCCTGGAGCAGAGCCAAGCCTCCTGCTTGCTCCATGGCGGCAGCCGGTCTGTTTGGAATTTATGTATCTTATATAATTGAAACCTTGTAGCCTGGAGTGGAGGCTTAGGCAGACCAAGGCAGATGGAAAGGTTGGCTTCTTCCGTTGCCAGAGAAACCCAAGCCTCTGTGGTTGAAGCCATCTTGGTTAGGGTTAATTTGCATATGGGCTCTGATTGGCCTGTGGGCGTGGCTTGTGGCATGGAGTGGTGGTTAATTTGCATTTTACTATTTTATTAGGTAGGATACTGTAATAAAGTTATGTGAATGTAGTGTCTTTCTGATAACTGTGAGGGCTACCAAGTGACTTAAAGGGTGGAGATTATCTTCAGTGTGGAGTCGCTGGACAAAGGAATGGGCCCTGACCAGGTGGAATGGAACAGATCGAATGTCATCAAGCTACTCAGGAGGGCACACAATTTAAAATTTATGAATAGTTTATTTCTGGAATTGTCCATTTAATATTTTCAGACTAATATTTGAACCATAGGTAACTAAAATCTCCAAGTAAAACTGCAGAAGAGGAGACTATTGTATATTTAAGTTACTTTTAGCAGTAAACTATATTTAATTTAATGCTAAAAAAAAATGAAATACAATTGTAGTATTACAATTCTTTCAAAGATAACTAAAAGTGCATCATTATTTAGGTAGTATTACAATAGTTCAGGCATATTTCTAAAAAGTTTTTAAAAGTAAAAAATCTCAGATTGAGAATTTATGCCAATTTAAATATGTTGAGTACAAAACCTTACCTGCTATCATTTGAACAGAAAACGAAAAGCATGACATAAGGAGGGTAAGCACATGCATAAGAACAGAATTAACACTTAGAAACCCAAATATACAACTGTCAGAAACAGATAACTGAATTACAAATTGAATATATATTTGACCTTTAACTATGGAGGATAGCATATATTACAAGCTGCTTCCCTCAAAGAAATCAATACTAAATATCTATTCTCTTTCCTACCTTTAAACTAGAAAAACCGTTTACATTATGTCCATATGAAAGAAAATACTTCATGGTTTTAGTTTCATACATCAATTTATCTGAGATGTTTCTGCTGGACTGGACCCAAGATCTCTGTAAATATTACATGTCATTTGCCAACAGGAAAAACTTAGATCTTGTTATAGTAAATCACTTATACTAGTGTTCTCGGAAATATGATGTCAGCAAGCACTTTTTTTAAAGTCACTTTTTTTTTTTAACAGTTTAATCACCCTTTAACTGTTATGAGATAGCAAAAGTCAGCTACCTAATTAATAAAATGTAAAGTCCATATATCTCCTAGATAACACGTATCAAAAGAATAATTCAGGCTTTTCAATCTTTAAAATTCAAGATACACTAAAATATAACAACAAAGGAATGCATTGCCTCATGTTGTAATCACAGAAAGAACACAAACCCCAAAGGTTAATCATATCTATTGCACAACAACAAAAACAATTTGGCCAACAGAAGCAAGAATCCACAAAATCAGGAAGGTTCTCTCTAGGGTGCGGGTAATTTGGTTATGCTGCAAGCCACCATCCCAGACACTCCCACAGCTATGGAGGGGACAGCTCACCGAAAGCCCTTCAGCAGTCTATCTTTTTATTTATTTATTTATTTTAATTTATTTTCCACAAAGAGGAAGGGAGAGGGATAGAGAGCTAGAAACGTCGATGAGAGAGAAACATCGACCAGCTGCCTCCTGCACGCCCCCCTACCGGGGATGTGCCCGCAACCAATGTACATGTCCTTGACCAAAATCGAACCCGGGACCTTTCAGTCCACAGACCGACGCTCTATCCACTGAGCCAAACCGGTTTTGGCAGCAGTCTATCTTTAAGTGGTTTCATACCCTGCCTTCAAGGATTCTGAACTATAATTGACACTAGGTATCACTCCAATTCATTAAAAACACCAGAATTACACACCTGTTAAAACATAGATCTAGCCAAAACCGGTTTGGCTCAGTGGATAGAGCATCGGTCTGTGGACTGAAGGGTCCCGGGTTTGATTCTGGTCAAGGGCATGTACATTGGTTGCGGGCACATCCCCAGTGGGGGATATGCAAGAGGCATCTGGTCGATGTTTCTCTCTCATCAATGTTTCTAGCTCTCTATTCCTCTCTCTTCCTCTCTGTAAAATAATCAATAAAATAAATTTTAAAAAACCCCACATAGATCTAGACAAATGTCAGAAGGGAACAGGGTGAAGGAATGGGGGAGAGGGGGAGGCTGGATAAAGGAAGGTGAAGGGATTAACTAAAGAACATATATGCATAGCCCAAGGACATAGACAATAGTGTGGTGACTGACAGCCAAGGTCAGGGGAAGTGGGCCCTGGGGGGAGGTGAACAAGGATGTGGGAGAGTATGAAGGACATCTGCAATAGTGTCAACAATAAAAAAATTAAATTAAACCTGACCTGCGTGACTCAGTGGTTAGTGTCCCTGCTGGGTTTGATTACTGGTCAAGGGCACATACCTAAGTGTAGGTTCCATCCCTACCCAGTCAGGGCAAGTGTGGGAGGGAGATTGTCTCTCTCTCTCTCTCTCTCTCACAT